CTTTTCATTCCTGTTACAGATGTTTGTTCGTCTCTTCGTAGATGAAAACCTTGACAGGATTGTCCCAATTTCTAAACAGCCCAAGGAAAAAATTCAAGCTATAATTGACTCTTGCACTCGACAATTTCCTGAGTTTGCAGAGCGTGCCAGAAAAAGAATTCGAACCTACCTCAAGTCATGTAGACGGAATAAAAGAACCAGAGATAGCAATGGTACCTGGGATACAGTAAGTCACATGATAAAATCAATTCAAGGTCTTTGACTGAAAAATAACAAGCTGCTCAACCAAACCTTGTTTTACTATCCTAGGCTAGACCAACTCCTGCCCATCTCACATCAGTGCAGGCAGAACAGATTTTGGCGTCAGCTTGTGAAAATGAGAGCCACAATGCCAAACGGATGCGTCTAGGCCTGGAACCTGTCAGTCAGCCCATGCCATTGTTACCTGGAACTGTGCCGGTGAGTAAAATAAAGTGTACCAAGTCACCAATTGACAACATTTTCGTATGCCCAAGTTGTAACTAACTTTTATTTTATTTCAGGTGGAGACTTTATCAAGAACGACAATGCTTGACCACTTTACCACGACGCAGGCAACTTCAACTCCAATAACAGTTGCTGCCATTGGTACAGCTTCAGGACCAACAGTACCTCTCAATCCTGCAATTAATATGAGCACCTCTCCAGTATACAATTCAACACCAAGTTCAGACCGTGATACAAAAATTCAACACAGTATTAATAGTATAACAAATAACAACAATCATATGGTGAATAATAATAATACAGCCTTTCCTTACAACTCGGTAAAAAAGGATGTTGTGCCAAATTTGGAAATTATTCCCACTCAAATGAAAACATCTCCAACATCCATCAATAGTACATCGAATTCACATTCTAGCCATAATAGTAACAGGTAATTATTGTTTTAAAGCGATTTTTATTTACTACACAGCTTTATATATGGTGTTCACCTATAAATATGTTTTTTCAAATAATTTACAGTTCAACTACTATTACTGCAGTGAACGGAACTACCCCTCAAACTACAACATCAACACCAGCATCAGTATATCGGCCAAACTTTTCCCAAGCATTCCAGCGTTCAACTGACACTGTGTCTCCAGCATCATCTGGTAAGCCCGTCATCAATTTCGATATCATTTGATGTTTCCAAATTCTATTTTTCCACGTATTTTTGTGTGAACCATGTTACGTTTTCTCAGGTCCAACAGATTTAAGTATGAAAACTACTGCAACAAAGCCATTGTTGAGTCACAAGCTAAGTAGTACAGAAATGATTGCAGTTCGTCAACTTATCACAGGATATAGAGAATCGGCAGCATTTCTCCTTCGATCAGCAGATGAGTTAGAACAATTGCTCATCAATCAACCATAATATTGTAAAAACTTTTTTTCTTATGTGTATATTTATTATCTCCTGTCTGGAGTAAAGAGGCATGCATGAATGAAGCGGCTGTCATTGAGCAAATCCAGATACAGTCTGTAAAAGAGTTGCATACCATTATATTTATGCAATGCCTCTTATTAGTCAATCGTGAGACTGATTAAAGTACAACTATTTGTAATTTATGTACTTACTGAAAAATGAGATTCCTGTACATACTAAGTGTGTCTGTATTTCAAGATAATTGTTTCTTTTTTTCTGATATTTGGGAGAAAGTGATTATTTCCAAATGTAATTTTGTCAGAACATTTTTGCTTGTTTTTTTTTTATTAAATTAAATTGGAATACATTAGTTTTATGTTATTGTTTTTAATATAGTCAAATTACTTGTCAATCTAGGGTACTGTATTGTTATTTAACTATTGCCCAGAAGAAGACCAACCTATTTATGAACAGATATTGGAAATTTCTTGGCATTTAGAAGAAATTTCTGCATTCTTTACTTTGTTTGAGCATCTGTTTTGTGATCCAGATAGCATCAAAGGAACAAAGCAGGGTTTGTTTATCAAGTGCAATTAATATCTTGTTGAAGAATTGACTCTATTTGCATCTTAGTATCAGCAGTAACATTACTCTGTATTTCCAAAAAATACTTTGAATTCATTATACCTGGGTAGGGATTTCCATTAGGTTTTACTTGGCCATGCAGATTAGTGCAAGATTTCTCAAATGTTGAGCAAATATAAACATGGTCAGGCATAACTTTTCCAGTTACATTGTTTGATTAAATAATTCGTATTACTCACTATAATATTCAGAACATACTTTGAACCGTGGGATGGACATGGAGGATGTCTGAAAAATGGCCAAAATGCACTCTTTGCTATTAACTTGGCCCTGCCAGCATTGCCAATACATGCATAGTACTTCAGACTTGACGAATAAGAAATGTGTTACAGCAAACCTTGAAAAATCTATTGCACACTTGAGTGGGTCTCTTTGCCTATGGCCCTAATTAGGAATCATTGGCTATGGCCACAAGTGATAAAGAACAGCATGTTTCTTATTGATCCCTCTCATGAGAACTTCCATCCATAATCCAAAAAGATTGATCATGTTAACTTCCCTGTTGCACAATTGACCTTTATACTACTTACTTACGTACTATTAACATTGTCACTTCCTTTGCGTGTGTCTTTACTTATATCTTTTATGTCTTAGCTGTGATTTTTATGTGTCCATACAACTTATTTTCAATGTAGGCCACTCATTGTCATCTTGTAGGAGATTTAAGCTGTTGAATGATTGTTGATCAATGTTCACTGTTTGCTGTAGTCATGTGTGTGTTATTTAATGTTGATGTTCCTTTATGTCTCTTACGGTTGTGGCATGTGATCTACATATGTGAAGGAGAATGAGAGAAAATTTGTGTCAAGAAAGAACTTACCTTGAGTTTTTAAATGCATGTATCCTTCCTGGCTTTTGATGTGATTTCGTGCTCCTTCCTACAACCAATAAAATAAACATTTTTTCAGCAACTTGTCTCTTTTGTCTTGTGTTGCCAATACGTAATGGCTGTCTCCTTTTTGTCACAGTTATCACTGGTATTGCCATCAGCAACATAGCTTGTAACTAGTAATCATTCTTTTTGAATGCAATTTCAGAATAACACATTTTTAAGAAAATATTGATATTAACTAGCACTTTTTACTGTGTGATAGTGCAAAGTTTTATAAAAGTTAGTTGAAATCAGATTGCAATATAGACGTCAAATAAGATCTCCATCATGTGCAAATAAGAGTTATAAAAGGTTTTAAATCACTCAGATTTGATTCTTTCCGTGTCTAACCAGTGGAAAAAGACCATCTGAAGCAGAACAAATGTCATGAAGTACTAGTAAAGGTCCCCAGGATAATAGAAATTTGAGACAGTATAATAACATTTGAAGAAGAAAGCTCATTTTAATAGTCATAGTTGTTGCTGTTTTGAAAACAATAATTTAGAACTAAATAAACAAGCCTCTGCACAGAAATGAACTGCACT